CGACGACGACGACGACGACGACGACGACGGCCACGGCGACTGCGACGAAGCTTCACTTGCAAAGAGGCGGCCAGCGGCGCACGGGCGGCGCTCGCCCGGTCTTCGGGGAGAAGACGGGCTCCTCCGGCGGGGTCCCCGAGATGGCGCACACCTGCGGCGGGGCCAGGGAGGGGAGGAGGGACGACGACGACGACGACGACGACGACGACGACGACGACGACGACGACGACGACGACGTCGGTCTCCGGCCCTGGTGGCTCATGTCCTCTCGCCGGAGAAAAGACCACGCCTCTCTGCCGCACGAGGCTACGCCAGCACACTCGACCGAACCAGGGACGCTGACAACAAAGGTGCCTGCCATCGCGCTGCGCGAAGCGCGAAGCGCGAGGCGCGAAGCGCGAGTAACTTCGCGCTCTCGCGCCGCCCCCCCAAGGGAGAAAAGGAGGACGAGGAGGAATCGGAGCCGAACCGCGAAGCGCGAAGGGCGAATGGCTTCGCGTCCTCGAGGGCGCCCCTGTCACACCTGCCCAAAACCAAGCCCTCGGCCGGCCCCGTCCGCGACCCTCACCGGCCCTCGCGCCTGGCCCTCCGCTGCCGTCGGTCCTTCCCCCCTGGCTCGGCTGCCACCCCCCTAGGCGGCGCCGTCTCCCTCTCGCTGTGTGGGGCGTTGGCTCAGGAGACAACAAAAAAAACAGCACAAACATACTCTCACGGAGGCCTGCGCGGATTCCCCATTCCTGGCGCGCGGAGCGCGCCAGGGGCGGCGACGGAGACGCCGCCAGGGAGGGCAAATGTCTATCCAAGAAACCCGTGCGGACCTCCGAGAGATTATGTTTGTGCTGTTGGTTTCCAAGGATGAGTTGCCTAGAGGAGTCCTAGCTCGAGCCATAGAGAACTGGTCCACTGTCCCCCCCTCCCTACTTTGTCCTTGCAATCGTCGAACTATCCGCATGGTGTCCTCTGCATTCGCATGGTTTCCTATGCTATTATCATGGCTTGCTCTGTCTTCGGATGGCTTGCTTCGCTATATGCATGTCTTCCACTGTATCCAAATGGCTGCTTCTGATATTCCCATGGCTTCCTATTACACCAATTGCGTCGTAACAACAGTCCAATAATCGTCAAAAATATCCGCCTAGCCTCCTCTGGATTCGCATGGTCTCCTCTGCTATCCGCATGGCATCCTCTGTATCCGCATGGCCTCCTCTGCTATTCCAATGGCTTCGTGTGGCTCTTGAAATGGCGTCCCGACAGTCATCCAACAATCGTCGAAGTCAGAAGTAGAGTAGAGTAGAGCAGAGCAGAGTAGAGAAGAGAAGAGTAGATGAGTACAGTAGGAGTCAAGCACGATAGAGTAGATCAGAGTAGTGCAGACCAGAGTAGAGAGTAGAGGAGAGGAGAGAAGAGGAAAGAAGAGTAGTAGGAGTGGGAGTCAATTTAGCCAGGTCGAGCGAGCCAGAAGATTCCATATATTCCCACTCTCCCTTACACAACGCAAGAATCAATTGTGGCAAAAATTGATTTCGGAATTGGACCGCGCTCCCGCCTCGCAACGGAAGGCGCTCTCGCGCGGTCCCGCTTCCGACGACTTGGCGAAGGGAGCACCAAGCGGGCCGCGCAGGGGCGTGAGCGGCAAAACTTCCGATGGGCGCGGCAAAGACGAAGCATGCGCCGCGCTGGCACAGCACTGCCACTTACACTCACAAACTGCGCGGCGCTCGGGCGAGGTCGGCCTTTCGCCCGCTCTCGCGCGGCCCCGCTGCCAGTGTCGCCCTCATGCGACTCGGCGACCGAACCATGCGCCGCGCCCATGCGACTTCCGCACGGAGCCTGGGCAAAGGCGACAAATCGCCCACTCGCGCGGCCCCCCCCCCAACTTTGGCGAAGGACAACTACGCGCCGCGCCAAGGCGGGAGCGCCACTTCTTCAGACGGCATGTGCGCGGCGCCGAGGCGACGGCGACATGTCGGCCTCTCGCGCTGGACGTGCGCCCCGTCCCACTCCCGCCACGCATTTTGCAGCATGGACGACGGAATGTCCACGTTGAAAATCGTCGACTCCTTACAATCGATGCGATCATCACATGGATCAATAACGGGGGGGCACCAGTGGAATGGCGGGGATAGAGGCCGCACCGTGGCCGTGGAGTTCGGGCGTGCGCCGATCGCGGCCCGAGCCCCGCGAGCGGAGAGGGAGCTCCACGGCGAGGTCGCAGTGGACTGTGCTGACGCCGGCACGGATGCCGTGTGCCCAGGCGGGCATGGGCTGCAAGTGGCTTCGTGCAGCAGGGCCACGCGCCACGCGACATGCAAGGCCTGTGGGGGCCGCAGC